ACGCTCAGGAACTAGGTGGAGACAATGGCTGCACAACCTTGCGAATGAACTTAATGCCATCAAACTGTTCCCTTTAAATTGTTAATTTTATGTTATGTGAATTTTACTAAAAAAATGCACACACACAAAAGATGAAGGATGGCAAGGTGGGGTGGGGGCGCTATGATGGTCTGGCTCCCAGTGGCGTGGGAAGATCTAAAGAACTGCCAGGCATCTAACCTGTGAGTAGTCCTGCCAGCATTTCACCTGTATCTTATTAACTCTCCTCCCTGGTTTCAAGTTACTTTCAAAAAGGTTTTTTCTAACATCTTAGCTTTAAGAAGCTCGAGAAGGCGGGGTGTGGGGGGGCGGGGAGAAGGTCCTTCCATACACAAATAGGGAGGGTAGGTGGAGGGGGGCTGACCTGGGAAAACGGCAGTCCCCCAGAGTAAAAAGGCCTTTGAAGGAGCTAGAGGACAGGATGGGGGCTCCAGGGAGGGGCTGAACTCTGGAAGAGCCGCCACCCATTCCTGTCTCTTCCCCTCCCTTTCCCACTAAGCTGTGAAGATTCCACATCCCCCGACTCGAAACCTATATGACCGCTATGGTGTCATCTACCCCCGTGAGTACCTGTTCCCCAGCTCCTTGGCCCAACTGGGATTCTGGTTGGGTCCCCCAGTCCTACCTTGTACATCTCTCACATGCTCTATCTGTGCCAGGGCCCGAGAAGGCCCCTGGAGTGGCCCCCACCCAGCACCCAGCTCCCTGGCCAGGCCTCCAGCCATTCTGGGCTCCTGCTTTACCCTTTCAGCCAGGCTTCCTGGCCTGGCCACCCAGGCCGGGTGTCTTTTCCCAAGTGTCCAGTTGGTTGCAGAGGTGGGATAAGGGAGCCCATTTATTTTCCTGGGCCTTTTTGCTGGGGCCCCGTGAGCCAGGCGACAGGGAACTGAGCTCCCTGATTCGTATTGCCCTGTATCAGGCATTTGTGGGAGCTTTACAGTGTACAAAGCACTCTCTTCTTTCTTATTTCATTTGTCTCTGTCCCAGCTGGGGGAGGTGGGGACTACTAGCCCATTTGAAAGAGGGGGAAGCTGAGGCACAGCAACCTTGGGCCAGCTGGAACTCCTCTGGATGCTCTGCTCCACTTTGGGTCGCCCCTCCCCCGGGAAGTTTAGGGTGCCTGTGACTGGGTGAGCCATGGTGAAGCACTTTCAGCGTGGGGCTTCTCTTCTTAATCAGGCCAGCCTCTACCCAGAATGCTCTTAGGGCAAATCATGGGTCTCTTTTGCCCCTCCCAGCCCTGCGCTCCCATACCAGCATCCGCTCAGTGACTTCAGGCTCCCACTCAATGATACCAGCTCAGTCTCCGTCTCTGCCACCCCTGCCACTGCTGCCACCGCTGGTGCCATCCCTGCAGGACCCCCAGCAAGCCTCAGGGTCCACCAGGCATCCAAGGCCTCAGCGCCTCCAGTCCCGAGCCAGCACGCAGCCCGCCTAGGAACACGACCACTGGTGAGCCCTGCACCCTGTGCCCTCATTGTCCCTTCCACCCCCTCTGCCAGCCCAGACCAGGCCCTGAGCCC